ATAATAACTGTATAACAAAATGAGTATTATTTAATAGTACATTTCATATATTGACATTAATTTAAAATTAAAAGAAGAGTTAGATCTCCCTCACTCTACACAATATATATGTTCCAGCAACGTTAGTAATGAAGTGGACTTCTGAGGTGACTAAAACTATAAATTTGGACATTGTGGTTTTTTGTTTGTTGTTTGTTTTTTTCTGGAGGATAATGGGCTAATTTCAAAGTGTAAAAAAAAATGAATGGTTTAAGAGACTGGTCAAATCTATGATTGTTTGGATTTTATATAGATAGAAGGGATTTCTTAATTTTTCAGAGTAATTCAGTTTTGTTCAACAAATATAAAAGGTCTACTAGGTACTGTGGGGCATTAAAAGATGAGTAAGAAACAGGCTCTGATAAAACAGTAGGGAAAATAATACAAAGCTCCAAAAAATTATGTAAAGAGCTGTAAAATGTATGTGTGTGGAGGGAGGGTGACAATTAGCAGAGAGCATCAGAAAAAGTGCCATGATGCAGCTAACATTTTGATGCGCATAGAGAACTGTTGAAACTTTTGCCATTCTGAAGGGGGACTGTGTTTTAGGGAGTGGTTCTGAAACCTTAGGCTGCATAAGAATCTCACATATGTGGATGGGGGGCTATAATATTCTATATCAATTAGCTATTATTACAGTAACTAGGGGCCCGGTGCATGAAATTCATGCACGGGGGTAGGAGGTGAAGGGAAGTCCCTCCTACACTACACTAATTTGGGAGCCCTCAGGGATGTCATAATGATGGCTTAGGCCTGCTCCCTGTGGTTCTCTGCTCTCTACAGACCTGCCTGCTTGATGCCACCACAGGCCCTTGTGTCTGCTCTCTGTGGGGGCCGTGTGGGGGACTGCTTGCCCTCTTTGGCTTGGCTAGGGGCAAGAAGGACTTTGCTTTCTGCTTGCTCGCTGCAGGGGATGTTCCCGCTCCACCCCTGGCCACTTGCATACTTGCTGGCTTAAAGCACCTGGGTCCCCAGGATGCTCCCACCCTGCCTCGGCTGCTCAGTGCTTGCACGCATAGACCTGGAGTGGCTGGGAGCATTCTGGGACCCCTGGCACGTGCACAAGTGGCCACTCTGCCCTTAGCCACTCAGCATCTGCATATGCAAATTAACCCACCATCTTTATTGGGTTAATTTGCATACCCATTCTTGATTGGCTGGTGGATGTCACAAAGTGACAGTCAATTGGTATCTTTCTCTTTTATTAATGTAGATGATGTTTAACAAAACACCCCAAAAATTTAGGGCTTAAAGCAACCACCCCTTAGTGATTCCCCTGATTATGCATGTTAGCTGGGCAGTTCCATTAACCTAAGGCAGGCTCAGTTGATCTCATCTGAGTTCACTTGTGTATCTGGGATTGTCTGGTGGGTCAACTGGGAGCTAGATGAACTGGATGGTCTCTAATCCTCCATTAGGCTACTCTGGTTTCTTTCTCCTGGCACTTTTCCTAGGTTAGAGCTGAATAGCTCTTGAGACCGAGGCTTAGAAGTGACACACAGATACACCTGAATTCTTTTTGGCAAGGGCGAATCTCAAGATAGCCACTCAGGAGATGGAGAAACAGACTCCACTTGTTTATGGGATGAGTGGCAAAGTCACATTGCAAGGGCATGTACATAGAAAGGGAAGGGTGGGGTCATTCTGTAATCAGTCTAGCACCAATACTTCTTTGTTTTATTTTTCTTTATTATTTTTTTTAATCCTCATCCCAGGAGAGAGTGGAAGAGAGAGGGAAAGACAAAGAGAAATATCAAGGTGAGAGAAACATATTGATTGGTTGCCTTCTGCACGAGCCATGACCAGGGTCCAAACCTGGGAGGAGCCTGCAATCCAGGTACATGCCCTTGACCGGAATCAAACCCAGGACTCTTCAGTCTGCAGGCCAATGCTCTATCCACTTAACCATACCAATTAGGGCAAGGCTTCTTCATTTTGATTGAAATGCGAGTAGGTGAAATGGAGCTACCTGGTGATGATGCAGGCTGAGGTTAACCTGACCTATTTATTTCAAATGTAGGCAGCCCTGAGGATATACTGAAGAGTTTGAGCAAGGAAGAAACATCTTCAAAGTCTGGCTTTACAATAATCTTTTATGGATATGGGGTGAATAGGAGCAGAGAGTAGCAGGAGTAAGGGTCTCTTTTCCATTCATGCAGGTGGAAGTTAAAGAGTATTCAATGTGGTGGCAGTGGGGGCAGAATCAAGGAGAAAGGTAAGAAGCTTTCTCATAAGGACTGAAATGGTAAGGCTGCTGGTAGGACTGGAGGCACGGGCGGGAGTTCCTTCCCTTTTATACCAAATTCAGATATTCAACATTCATCCTATTTTTCTACAGGCAGAGTTCCCAGATTTTGTTGTCCATTGCCATGTGATAATACAGCATTTAATAATTGGCAGGATATAATCGCACAGTAGAGATGTGGGACTCCGACTCATTGTTTTGATTGACCATCCTGATGAAGCTAGGCTTTCTCATCATATCCCAGACTCAAAGATTTTCTAAGATTGAGGCTTTAATTCATTCAGTAGGTTCCCCTAGTTGAATTTCATAGTTCTATAGGTCTCTGATTTTAAAATATTTACTTAAAATGATATAAAGTTGCACAAATATGTTATTTTCAATTTTATTTAAGTGAAATAAAAATTGTGGTTGATGTGAAGAAATTTGCATAGAAACCACGAGTTTTATTGAAATAAAAGTTTAAAGACAAAATCCTAATACCTATTATCTTATCCTGAAATAATTAAATGCAAAGGATATACATACGTTAAATCACCAAAAAACATGTAGGCATTACACAATGCACATAATGAAACCATAAAACATTTTATATTGCTTTATTATAAATAATTGGAAAAATATTTCATTTCTCAAACCCAGATAACAAACAGTAAATATCATGCTTTTTTTTGTTATTTCATTTTATTTTTGTAATATGAGTTGGGGAATAGTATTTCTTATCAAAAGACTGGTTTAAAAAATCTGTAAAAACACAAAAGAATTAAGCACTCACTTTCATTCTTTTAAACGAAGACAATCAAGAAGGTTTTTAGAGACTAATCAGTACTATAAATGAGTCACCAAGAATAGAAAAACTGTAAAACCTGCAAATAGTGTGTGTAAGGCAAAACAAGGTTGTAACAGATGCATACATATAAAGATTTGATGGTAAATTAAAAAAAAGTAATTCCTTAAAAATGTGAAGAGCTCCATTCTCTCAAATAGAAGAGAGCCATAAAGGCATAACAGATCAAGTCACCAGGTTTGCAATCAGTATTGTTGCTCTGAAGAAAACTTTTATTTTTTCTAAAAGGACACCTAATATGCATTTCAATTTTCTTATCTCATGGTTTGTTAACACCTGTTCACTATTGTAAACTTGAACACTTAAGAGACAGTAGTAACTTCAAACTCACTCAAAATAGATTATACCACAGGCACATCTTCATTAAGAAATTTATAGCAACCAGCAGTCAGAATTTTCTTATTCCATAGGTGACTATGATTAATTTTTGTGTGTATTTCCCTTATGTATAATACAGAGTTTTGCCAATTTTTATCACTAATAATTTTTAAAAATCTGAAACTGTTTAAAAAAAAACAGCCTGAGGGAGAAAAACATGGAGAAATATGTATTTCATAAAGTAGTGTAGTAGATTTCTTTGAAAACTTATGTTTATTGGCATCAATTAAGAGCAATGTTGCATATTCCAGATAAAACAGCTATTAGGTTTACTGTGGATATAAACACGCTATATACAATATAATTCTCTTATTTTTCATAGACTTCAAAGTGTATCTTTTATGGAAACTGGAACGGGGTAAATTTGGAAAGCATGTTTCAGTTAGTTAGCAAAAATTAAATTAGCATGAAATAATAGGGTGAAGCACTGAAGATCATTATTTAAAAATAATGTAGTTACACTCACATGTACACATGCAAGAAAATACTGTGAAATAAACTGTTCCAGTTTACTTGGTTTCACTTCAGTTTAATACACTCTAAAAAAAAACTGCTTTCATGTATAATATCATGGGAAATATTAAATGCATGTATATTATTTTAAGAGCTTGATGATAAATTTCACATTCGTTAAACTTTACTCAGGCTATAAATATATATTTTTTATATCAGTCAGTCAGTTTTTAGAGCAAATGAAAACTGTAGTGGGGAGGGGTTAACTTTTTTACGGTATAGTTCCATACTTGATAATGTTCTTTTTTTTTCTTCTTCTGGGGACTGTATATAAAAAAAAAAAAAAATCAAAGAGTAACGGAGTCTGTCTCGACATCACACTGTTAGCCTTCATGCACTACAATTCATTATGACTTAACAACATGGAGTTTACATTTGAAGACAGGTTAACTGAAATCAATGAGCAAGCATGACTTCTGAAATTCATTAACATGTAGCCAACTCAGAGAGCGATGGATGCTGTGCCTCCTGAACTTGTACTAAAATTGTGCAACAGTATAAACGTATTGTTAGTAGGTTTGCATAGAAATACCACCATCTCACTGGTGTGATACGTCTTTCCCACGGGATGATGGCAGGCCTGCTTCCTTCTTCACGTGCATTCTTTTTTTGTTGTTGGTTTGTTCTTCCTTTTTCAGTTTTGCCTGAAACAAGCCCTAGGTATCATAGTTCCAAAGTAAGATCCAGTAGTAGTTTGAAGCACAGGGAGCTGAGCGGTTCCTTCCCTTTTGAAAGCATGACAGTGAGTGGCACCCTCAACCTGAGCCACACGAGCAGGGTCAACCCAAGCACAGACTCTTGTGAACCCAACAGGCTCCACATCCACAGTCAAGAACCTTGCTGATTTCACAGAACTGCTGCCTGTTGTTGCCGGAAAGGGGGACACATGGTTTTGCTCCAGAAGTTTCCAAGCGGGTTCTCATCTGGTAGCATCTCCAGATTTCTTGGTTGCTTTTATAAGCTGCTCCTGAGACCGTGCCTTCAGAAATCCAAAGGTCGGATCATCATGGTTGCGGAATGTAAGGAGTAACTGGGCCCTTTGAAGTAATGCCACTTTATCCCATTCAGTTTGCCCAGGTTTTGTCCCGCGGTATAGAACATTCCATTTAGATTGGATGGGCCACAAGCATCAAACCACCAGCCTGAATAAAATAATTAGTGAATAATGAAAGAAAGAAGACACAATGACAAAGAAATTGAACATTTGGAAATGAATGGCATTGGCTGAGGGAAACGTGTTCATGCTTGTTGGGATCCTTTGCAAATAGCAAGGCATTCAGATAAATATCTTGCCCTTAGTGGAACTGTTTTAAATGACATCCGGTTTAGGCATTACATGAACAATCAGAGAGAGGAATGCTCTCAGGGAATCAAGTGTCTGTGTCACTCCATTGGGACACATTTCCCACGGAATGATGGGAAGCTTATACTCATTAAATGGCCTGGGTTTATTTGTAGGGCTAGTAAAATGCAGATACCTTTAAAAGGCATATTCCATCTTAGGCCTATTATTGGGAATAGGACAATGAATTATTAGTGAAGAAATTCAGAGGTTTAGACAACTGACAGCTAAAAAGAGAGAGAGAGAAAGAGATGTTTTTCCATCTATTTCATAATTTTGTCAAGAACTGGCCATCAGCTGCTTCTGAAATTAGCTGGATACCTGGCAATGACTATGATGCTCAACTTGAATTTGAATTTCTAGCCCTCTCTGTATGTAACAGCAATATGGAAAGTGTTCCTCAGTAGGAGCCATGTAGTTGCTATGTAGCAGTGTTTTTCTGAGATTGTTCTTGTTCTTTCAAAACCCAGTAAGAAGAAAAACAAACTACTTGATCAGTGACATGGGGTCCCTATGCTTGCATAGGTCTCCATAAGGATAACTCGGCACTTTATTTTTTTAATGAATTAAGTTCTCAGATTTTTAGATAAAACATAGTACTTTTTCTTCCTCTCCTGAGGTAACACTGCTGAAATCTTCAGGGAGAAAGTGATGCCAGAGACATTCTGGCATATTTTTCCTTGGATATAGTTGACCTCCCTTTGATTGCAGAGTTATACCTAAGGGACTAATAGCTACACAGAGAGAAAGCTGTGCAGCTGATGTTGAAGTGTAACACGAGCATCATCCTGCAGGAACTTTAGAAAAAGTTAAATGGAGAAAAGCTAGTTCTCATTTTTCAATTTTGGAAGATGAATACAGCTGGGTTGTGTTTATAAAGTCAAACTAGAGACATAACAAGCTGTATTAATTATCAGCTCATACTGGGGAGCAGTGAGGTATGCTGATGAACTGGGAGAGATGCTGTATTCAGGGCCATTTTACCATCTGTATGCAAACAACATAGATGTTGATGTGATGAAAACACAAAGAACAAGAAGGCTCCTTGGCAAGAAAGGAGGAACTGTAACATTCCAACCTTTTGTCTTAAGATTAATTCCGTTAAATATTTCTGATAAGTACAACTAGTAAAAATATGTTATTAATGTTACAAAAGACATTCTGATATTAGGGAATTCATTTACCCCGAAGACTCTCAAAGGAGAAAATGAAACCCAACTTGATTGCTGTGGAGTTTCAACTTTCTCCTCCTTTCCTGTGACCTTGAGGCCCTTTTTCCATCATGTTAACGAGCCTTTCATAGTTTTGCCAATGTCCACCAGGGTCTCTGAAGCAAATTCAGCTACTCTATTGTTGAGATCTACTAAAAATCATGAGACGGTCCTCCAAGCAGCATTAGGGTACTTACAGAGTAAAAGTAAGGGTTTGTTTGGTTTCTAGAAAGTCTGGAAGGTTGTGGGAAGGCAGATGGCTGTTGCAACAGCACCTGGCAATCCATCGCACAGGCCAAAGATTCTGAAATTTCAGATGAGCTTAAGAAAATGACAAGCAACAGTAGGGATAGATGAAAGTATTGACTAAATTGATCTTGCATATGGTTCTAATGAGTAAAGCGTGGAAATCTTTGTAGTAGGTGAATGGCATTTTAGAGACATTGAAAGAAGGCTAATGGCAGGGTTAGAGTTAACAAGAGAAATGTCTTGAAGTGAGAAGGCCTAATACCAAATCACAGAATCTTGTTCATTAACCTAAGAGAAACAGAAAGGCTTGGTCAATACTCTGGTGTACTGAGATACTTAGCGCTGCACTGAACAGAGTTCACTTGACAAATTAACTGGCTTTCACTCTGTCTTCTTATAAAGTCTCTAGGGTCAGAACAGCCTTGTTTACTAAAAGTTACATTTGATAAACTACCCATGCTCACTATACTCATTTTTCCATTATTTCTTCACTCAATATGTCATTATTGCTAGGTGATGTCACACAACACTCAATAAGACAAACGTAGTCCCTGCCCTCATGGAACTTACTTCTAATGTGAAAAACAGACAAATGTAAGCAAATAAATAAATACAAATCATGAGCAAAGGAACAAAAAACAGACAGAAGCATTAGGGATCTGTAATGGAGACTAGCAGGAAATCTACTTGACTTTGCAAGGTCCTGGAAGAAGTTGCTATTTAATAAGACCTCAAGAATGAGAGCGAGGCAGCCACATGAAGATGGGAAAGACTCTTGTAAGCAGAGTATAGCACCTGCCAATGCCATGAAGAGGAAAGAAATCTTCAAGTGTTCTCTCTTAGAGAACATCAGTGCAGCTGGCATGATGAACAAGGGGGACACTTGCAGGAATAACGGTGAGAAGTGGACTGTCTTGATAGAAAGTTGAATTATGCTCATGGAAAAATTTATAGTTGACTCAGTCTACTTGTCTATCATCAGGTGAACAAGTAAAACATTCTCTAGGAGTAGAAGTCAACATTTAACCAGGAAAACTAGACCTTTCAGGTTAGATGTTTAATAAAATAGTATGTGGAGCCCCCATTCTGTGACTATTACCTGCCAAAGCTTTCCTAAGTTATAAGTGGCAGCATGATAAAGGGGAAAAAGTTGAATCTAGAATCAATTAAACAAACATTAACCAATGGGAGGACATAGGGGTCAGAGTAAAGTAAAACAAAATTCCTGATATTAAGGAGTACACGGTGTGTGTTTTTGTCGTTGTTTGTTCTTTTTTTTTTTAAGCATGTTTTTATTGATTTTTAGAAAGATGAAAAAAGAGGGAGAGAGATAGAAACATTGATGAGAGAGAAACATAGATTGGCTGCCTCCTGCACTTCCCCTGCTGGGGATAGAGCCTGAAACTCAGGCATATGCTCTGGCTGCGAATTAAAATGGTGACCTTTTGGTGCATGGGATGATGCTCAAGCAACTGAGCCACATCTGCTGGGCCACAGCTTTGTGTAGGAAAGAGAAAATAGACTGTTTTTAAAAATGAGATTACAGCCATTAAACAGAGATTTTTAAAGTCTTATAAAGAACTTAGCTGGTGTTGCTCAGTGGTTGAGTGTCAACTGATGAACCAGGAGTTCATGCTTAATTCCTAATCAGGGCACATGCCTGGGTTATGGGCTCGATCCCCAATGTAGGGCATGCCTATCAATGATTCTCTCATCATCGATGTTTCTATATCTCTCTTTCCCTCTCCTCTCTGAAATCAATAAAAATATATTTAGAAGAATAAAACAAAAATCTTATAAACAGAGGCAGAAAGCCCTGTTTGTGGGTCCATAAGTCCCACTCATTTACCATCTGAGCTGGGTGCTGAAGGCTGGGTATCTCTGGACAGAAAAAGACTCGAAAGAAATATGTATGTACTCTCAGACAGCCGGAGAGAGTGTCTGCCAACAGCCTTGGGCTGGCTTGAGTGCCATTGGGTGAGGGGTTGGAGAATAATAGTGCTAGCACAAGAAATAGGAGGGCAACCCAAAGGTTTTTATTATATTAAAAACTTTGTTTGTTTGGCAATGTGAGCACCAAATCAGAAATGAGAAGACCCAAAAATTGATGCCGACTTCATCAATTGATAACTAAGAGCTTTTCATCAAGAACGTAAATAATATTTGTTGTTTTTGAACAGTTAATATACATCAAGGACTCTGCTAAATATTTTTATGCATTTTCTCATTTTATTCTCCAATTAGCCTTATGTGGTGTGGCTAGTATCACAGTAAAGGCACCAATTCTGAGATGGTTGAAGAAATTTTTCTAAGAACACACAGCCATAGCTCTTCATTCATAAGATGTGCTTTATGAATGTCTGATCAACAATTTTCCCAGCACAGCTTCAAGGATCAAATAAGACAACGTGATTTTTTCCCCTTTGTTCTTTATGTGTCGGGGAGTAATAAATAAGCAATATGCTAAATAAGTTAAGCTAGCAGAAGGCACTTTAAGTTTGAAAGGACTCGGTGATGTAAGCAAAGGATAGAAGAACGCAGCTTCCATCGGCTGCTGGGACAACTGATAACATGTCTCAAATGTTTTAAAATTGGCAACTGCTGAGATGTACTTTGCCAAGCATTTTTCTTCATAACCTGTAACCTCATGTATATTTTAATAAGAAATCTGAGATGCATGTTTCTAATTCATTTACACTTAACTCATTAAAATTTAGTTTTGAAATAACTACCCTGTGCTTCCTAGGCCTTTAAAAATCATTCAAGTCTTTTATCTTTGAAGCAGAAAATTCGTATTTTATCACCCACAAATGAAAGTTTGCCCAGAAAATAGGAATTTAATTCTAAACTCGGACTCAGGAAGTTCAAATTTATTTAAAAATCAGGAAACTTAACTCTCGAATTCTGATCTAAACAAAATGTCTCTCAACACTGTTTTCCTAAGGTAACAAGTATAGCAAGATAAAAGAACAGATCTGTTTTTATAGGTTTCATTCATTCATTTTCAATGCATGCATTCTAGTCATCAGTATGCAAAAGAACTTGCCCAAAAAATAAGATTTTCCTCTTTTATCACTGTGGACAAAGCTGAACTAAAACTGATTGGTGCCACTGTTATCAGTGGGATCATCACAAAATACCTTGTGCTGAGTCATGTGCACAAGTTGGCTTTAGGCCAAGGATGTGGCTCCCCCTGTTTCTCTTCTTTTTGTTTGAAAGATGAAAAGTTATTTATCCTGGAGAGTAATCTTGAATTCATTTAAAATCTCTAGGTATTCTCTTACTGTCTCTTCCCTCCCCTGGACTTCATTTCATGTCAGGTCCTCATTAAAACATGCTG